GAAGCTTCAGTACGTCATGTTTCTGTTACGATACACGACTTTTTATTCACCTAACAAACGATCGATTATTAAACAAAACTACTGCCAAATGTCCTGGTAACACAGCTGGTCGTATTCTGTCGCTTTACGGTACTTTTGTAGGAAGAATAATATGATTTCTTCTGAAACGAATTAAAACAATTTGATAAAACACAACTTTACAAAACGTTTTCTCAATAAAAAACTAAATAAGTCACATTTAGAGACGGATGTTAGTCGTACATTAGTGGCAATTAAATTGCTAATTAGATATAAATAGACCAGAACCACCTGGCAGATGGCACCAGGGTTCTTTGGACCTCTGCACAGCGCTTTTAATTGACATCAGAATGAACGAGGCGACACCGAAAAGCAGAATTAATACGTTTTAGTTTCTGGAAAATGTCAAAGAAATGCTGCTGCTTTAGAAACTATAAAGTTATTTGTAGTCAGAATATGTATGTAGTGTTAAGTTGCTCTTTAATAAGACAAATGAGCCCTGCACACCAGCACAGGAAGCTGTTCATCAGAACCACCACACGGTTCTGGTCCAATCACTGTGGGCACTGTGTGGTTTCAGCCAAACTAGTACCGGACGATGGATTTTTTTTTACTTTAACCCAAAGAAAATCTGTTTTATTGTTTTTGAGTCAAACGGACCCAAACGGACCCAAGTTCCTCTGATCCAGGTGAAGGTTCTGAGCCCGTTAGCAGGAGTCCTGCCGTGTTTCCAGACAAGTATTATCATGAGACGGCTGTTTGTGTTGAGATGGACGTTTGTCGCAGCGTGTTTCGTGGCTCTTCTCGTGGTTTCCTGTTTGTTGTGTTCACGCCGTCTGTTGCTTTTGATTTGTTTGATCTGCTCGGTCCTCATAGCGACGGACTGGTTCAATGTTCTGCTGGTTCTGCGAGGAAGAAAAACCGAAATTTCAGTTTAAAAACCAAAAACCTTCCAATGAACCATGTTGGTAATCTGACCAGCTTCCTAACTAGCAGCTACGAGCAGCTAGCAGCTAAATTAACTGCCAACCATTTTGGTAATCAGTCAATTGGTTTGAGCTTTTATTAAAGAAAAACTGTCTATATTCTCCAAATGTGAATGTTTTCTGGTTCTGGTGAGGATAAATCTGCCATCTAATCAGTAAGCAACAGCTAACAGGAAGTGGTTTTTTTAGGGTTGTGAGGAGAAAAAACGGCCGCCATTTTTAACCACTTGGTGCTCCAGCTGGGACCTGTTCCATTAAGAACACTCAGAAAAGTGGACGTTTAAGTCCAAAAACCTGACTTAAACAAACCGAACAAATCAGTGGATTATACATAGAGTATCACCAAGACAGTTAGCCTGACAGTTAGCCTATCTGCTCATTACTCAGCATAAGTTACCAAAGTAACCGAATTGAACGAAGCAGTTTTTGCTTTACGGAACTCAAATAACCTGAAATTAAGTCTGACTAACTGAAGTAAGCCTGACTTGTTTGGTAACCTGGCCCTGGGTGTAGTTTTTCCTCAACAACAACCGGATCAACGTCAGAAACAACCAAAACCAAAACTCTACTTCTAGTTTTAGATTTAGTCTGGAAAAAGCAGAATATCAAATTATACTCAAGGAACCTTCAGGACGAAGTTTTGAGATACAAGAAACGGGCCGATGTTTTGGGAGAACCTCTTGATGAGGCTAGCGGTTTCCCTCTGCTTCTGTTCTTTGTGCTAAGCTAGGCTAAATGCATCCCAGACCTACACACAGAGCGGACGTCCAGCAGGACTTTCCAGACTGTCAGGCTGTTTCTTCGTCTCCTGAAAGCCGCCCGAGGCCTGCAAAAGCACTTTTGTTTAGAAACGAGATATTTTCACGTTTTGTGTTTTCTCCCGTCGTACTGACGTTGTTTCGTTTCTCCTTCTGTTGCTTTTTTCCCCCCTTTATAAATATGACATATTAGCGGTGTATTAAGCGGCCGGGCAGTGTCGTGGAATGTGATCGTGACGTTGTTTGTGTTCGTACGGAGAGCTAAAGGGACAAATATCTGTTGATTGTAACGCAGCTCTCGGTAAACCAATCCGACATGTTGGTTCTTTGTTTGTTCCCCAAGAATCTGTTTGAATGTTTCTACATTTAAATTCAACAAAACCAGATTGACAGAAAAACTAAATGGTTGACTAAAGAAATAAAACAAATTTCCACAACCACAAACTGAACCGAGCTGTTATAGCAGCTAAAGTCTGCTGAATCAGAACGATTTAGCAGCTGCACCAGTAAATTAGTAGTTAAGAATATAAAACTGTTTTAGCTGGCTAGCTAGTTTAACGTTTTGGTTCCCTTTAAGTTAATTGTTAAACTAAAACATTAGCCAAGTGAAGCTAAGCTAATCTGATAGCTAGCCGTAACCCTCATGCGACCTCTTTAAGGACCTCAGTGTAACTTTATTAAATTTACAAATGTGAAACCAAGGAGTTTACTGCCAAATTGACTAGTGTTAATCTGTTACATTTAGGCGCTAACTGTTAGCAGACTTTATAAAAAAATAGCTATATCTTGAGCTAAATTATTTAGCAGCTGAAATAAATGACCAGTTAAAGAACACAAAAACAGTTTCAGATGGGACTCTAGCCTAAAGGTTTGGTTCCCTTTAGGTTGGCTGTTAAACTAAACCATTAGCCATGTGAAAGTAAGCTAATTTGATAGCTAGCTGTAACACTTTTGGGACCATGGCGACGTTTTTGTCTTTAAGTACATCTGTGTAACTTTTTTAAATTGACGCAAATGGAACCAAGGAGTTTGCTGCTAAATTAACTAACCAATTGAATTGTTATCTAGTTATAATATGTTGTGTTTTAGGTGCTAACTGTTAGCAGACCTGATACAAAATGTGCCAATAGCTGAATTAAAAGCAAATGAATCTAAATCTAGATAATTTAGCTGCTGAAATAAGCTTAGTGAAGGCACATCAAACTAACTTAGCTAGCTAGCTTGACGTTTTGTCAGTTACCTGTGGAACAAACCTTTAGCCAAGCGGAGCCGAGCTAATTTGATAGCTAACCTTAAACTGCCATGTTTTAGATAAGAAACGGAGCTGAACAAACCTGAACCAAATTGCAAACCAGGTTTAACTAAATTCTAGTTATAGCTCAGTAAACGATCCCTTCAGCTAATTTACATATTTAGCCATTAGCACGTATTTGTTAGCAACCAAACTGTTAGAAATGCTTTTCGCGCTTTGCTTTAGAAACAGCAACAAGGAAAGGAAGATTCATGGAAAGAAAAGGATTCAAAAACAGAGGTTTTTGGGGTAAAATACAACTGGAGGTCAACTAAACGATTCATTAACCAAAGTCAGAACGTTTTAGATATTAAAATTAATCACATCAATTTTCAAACTGCTTTGATGGCTTTGGTTCAGAGTTTTTGTTTTATCCACGTCCAGGTTTCAAACTTTTAAACCTTCTTCCTGAGACCTGTTCTGTTTGTTCCCTCATTAGTTCCTGATCCCAGAGTTCACTGCAGACCGTATGTTGAATATACTGAATATAGACGCCAGTGTTTCATATATTAGTTCTTGTGTATTAAAGTTTCTGTTCTGAAAGACTGATGTTGGCAAACGGGAAGACGAGTCTCTGTGGATTTCCTGTTTATCTCAGTGTTTCTTTTATTTATTTTTCTAAATAAATATCTATTATTTACTGGACTCCCTGTGCAGCGTCCTGTTTCATTACTGCAGAGACACAAATAGTTTATAAAGCGACACATAAAACACGTCGAGCTGATAACAGAGAAAACCATCGTGTCACTGAGCTTCTAAACCTACAGGCTGGTTTGTGTTCATAGACTTATTTTATGAACACGTGTATATTTGTAACTGAGAACATCTTGGCAAAGACAAAAATCATGTTGATGTAATACAGTTTTTTTGTAAAAATGTAAATATATTTATAAGAATTCCCTTTATTAGGAGGGAAACGGCTGATTATGAGGGAACATGTAGGTCCACATGCTGCGGTTCTGATATTAATCTGATTAAAACGGTCAAATCAAATCAATGTTTTTATGTCTGTCTGTATAATACTTATGTTTTTGAACAACAAACTGACAAATAAGTGAGAAATAAGTTTTATATTTTAATTCTGGTTGA